TCTCCTCACACCCCACTGCCTTCTGTTGTGATTGGAGGGAAGAGTGGAGCCCCTTCTCCTCAGAGCATCCTGGGAAGCTGGGTTCCATTGCTCTTTCCCCAGCTGGTGAGTTTGAAAGGCCTCAGAGTTGGAAGTGAGTCTTCAACATTATCCAAGGTGGAGGGCTAGGTGTGTGTGCATAAAATCTTTCCTAGTCTTTCTCCCTCAAATCCACCACATGACCTCATGGTCTCCTCATGTCCTGGGTCTCTGACACTGTTCATTGATTCATTAATTCAACAAAACATTTATTGAACACTCACTATGTGCTAGAAATTGGAGCACATTAATGGGAAAAGATAGTTAGTTCAAAAGGTTGTATAGATACCAGATGAGAGAGAGAGAGAGAGAGAGAACACGCACATGCGCATATGTGAACATATAAATAAATGTGTGCAGGTTAGGGAAGCAGGAGGAAGAATGTTCAGAAAACTTGAGTTTGGGAGTCAGTTTGCATTTGCATCTAGGTGCTACCTTTTTGGGGGCAAGGTACTGGAGATTAAACTCAGGGGTGCTCTCCCACTGAGCTACATCCTAAGCCCCTTCGTATTCTTTATTTTGAGACAAGGTCTAGCTAAATTGCCAAGACTCTTCTTGGACTTGCCATCTTCCTGCCTCAGCCTCCTGAGTTACTGGATTACAGACATGTGCCACTGTGCCTGCCCCGGTGCTACCATTCACTCTCTGTATGAACTTAAGGTGAATTACGTAACTTGTCTGTACCTATTTCCCATCTGTAAATTAGCGATAACCACCTGGGGTTGTTCTTACCACATGGGTTTTATGTGAAGACTAAATGAGTAAATGTGTGCAGAATGTGGGTGACAGTGTCCAATACAAAGCGGCCTTTCAGTAAGTGTTAGTTATTATCACTTCCTTCTTTCTTCACTCAGAGCTGTGTCTAGACAAACCTATGAATGACCTATTCTCCAAATCTGCCTTTTGCTTAACCTCGGTGACTCAAGGGGCAGTCGCCTGGTGCTAACCACCTGTCGCCCCCTGAGGCTCATCTACAATACTCACCCTTAGACTTTTGTCTACCCAAACTGTTGCCATTTGCCACCCTCAACTTGCCCACCCCCACCAAGCTGCTCAGGTTGGGGAAGAAGTGATATCACACAGTGGGGCTTGCCTCAGCCCCCTGCTCCCTCCAGACACTTCTGCTCCAGCAGTCCCCTCTTGCTGGCTGGGAACAGAGGACAAGAATGGGGAAGGAGCCCAGGCACCCACCCCATGGACCTGGGGAAACAAAAGAACTTGTCAGGGGAGGGAGGTCGGAGGGGATTCCAGCTCAGAGGGATCCATGCATGGTATTCCAGAGTAGGTGGCAGCTGGCACTATTCCTGGGTGCAGAAATGACAGGGTCCTCTCAGGGGTCAGGGCTAGGTTGTGCCAAGGCCCCAGTGGCATTGTGACTCCCCTATTCTTGAACAACTGTGCCACCCCCTTGGCATAGGCCTTAAGAACTGGGGCAGGAGTGTGGGCTCAGCCAGGGTAAGGGGAGGGTTTAGAAAACACACACACACACACACACACATACACACACACAGGGTCCACCATGGGGTGCAGATCTTGGTTCTGGGGAGGAAGGGGGAAGAAGGTGTGGTGCAGATGTGTGTATGGGTTGGGGTGGGGGAGATGACTTTGTGGTTCCATGACTATGTTGGGGTGGGCCAAGTGTCTGTGTGTTTATCTCTGCCCTGGTTTGTTGTCCAGGTGAGTGTAGGTTTTTGCTTTACCTCTGACCCTTTGCTTGAGCCTCTCAGCAATTCGGCAGTGAGAATTTTCTCTTTGGGAGGGTGGGAAAATCCAGTTTCTCAGTGCAGTATGGGTCAAGGATTTATAAACACACACAAACAGGACATTCTTGTGTGGGATCCTTAGCTCCCCAAGAAGCTGGGTTTGTACTCATTTGAAGGAGAGAGCTGAGTATTCCTAGTGTGTCTCCATCATTTCCATGTGTGTTAGTGGCTGTTATGTTTGTCATTTTGTCTCCACAGTAATATCTGTGTCCATAGCAAGTACTTATAAATGCTGGGCTCAGATTTAAATTTGTTCTTTAGTGATGTTTGCCTTTAAGAAACAATGTAACAGGGGTTAAAAAAATCCTGGGTTCAAATCCAAGTTTGGACAGTAACTAATCCATTAACTTTGGACAAGTTCCTTAGCTTCTGTATGTCTCAGTTTTCTCACGGCGATAATAATAATAATAGCACTAACCTTACAAAGTTCTGTTGAGGATTCAATGAGATCATGTTACACACCTGGCACAGGTCAGGATATTTTTAACAGTCCAGTCTTTGGGTGTGCTCCTCTTTGAGGGACATAACTCCTCTGTTGTGACTGCCGTATGTGACATCTCGGCCAGATTATAAACCGTTTTAGGGGAGAACATGGGTTTTAATGGTTGTTAATAATACTCATGAGAACCCAGTACCAACTTTGTACCATGTAGTTTGGAGGTGAAATGAATTAAATTAACATGTAAAACAAGACTGGTGTTTGACATATGCCCACATCTGGTAGTGGGGGGGGTATGGGGGATGGGAAGCTGGTGATGGTATAGTGACAACACAGCCCAGCCGGTGCCAGGGTCCCCACGGTCACTACTGCACCTGTGTCTCTCTGTAATCCCAGACTCCCTCCTTGTGAATGTCCTAGTCTGGCCTTGAGGATCACTTAAACCTCATTTTCTCCTTCCTGCACTCACCCCTGCCCCAGTGCACCAGCCTAGGTGAGCCTGTGTTTTCTTGTGGATGTGACAGATGGGGACAGAGTCTACACAATACATTCCTCTTTTGCAGAGTGTGCGTGTATTTGTGCATCACTCTGTTGGGTGTATGTGCAGCACCTTTCTGCGTAAAACCCCTTTCCATTACGGTGGGTACATGCGTCTGTGTGTGTGATGAGCCTCGTGCCTGCCATTTCCTCTCCTCCCCCGGCTTTTCCAGTTACATAAGCAGCTGAGGGGCGAGTCAGTCCCGGGCTGTGGGCTCCCCCTGCTGGCCACCTCTGGAACCCACATTTGCGGGAGGGGCATGTGGAAGAAGTTTTGCCTCAAGCCCTCTGGTCCTCCATCCCTACCTGCTCTCAGCTCCTTCCCAGCCCCAAGCCATGGGAGGAGGACTAGTATCTCAGATCCCTGAAGAACTCCCTCATAATGCCCATAATGAGGTTTGGTTATTATTTGTTTACAGTATGTTCCCTGCAACACAATGGCTACTTTCCCTGAGGGAAGGGGACCAAGATGGCCTTGACTTTGTTTATCAAAGCACTGTCTTGTTTAGCACAAGGCCTCCCCAATCAGATTTGGTGTATGAATGAGTGTAACAGGATAGAAAAAGGCTTGGAAGGAGAGACAGTGCAGTATAGAAAGATTTGGGGACAGGCAGGCCTGGGCTCAAGTCGGGCCTTGATTACTTGAAAGCTGTGTGGCCTTGGGCAAGACGCTTTAACCCTTCTGAGCCTCAGGTTCCTCTTTTGTTAAACGACACCATCTTGTAAAACAGACTGTAAAGGCTAGAAATCATACCCCTTTGAGTACTGCCCTTATTGTGCAAGCATTCCATAAATCTATTATGATGATAATGGTATCTTAACATCTGTCAAACCATAATAATCAGGAAGGCATTAAATCCATTCAGTTTCTAACTAAAGGGAGAGAATGGTTTTCCTCTAAATGCCTCCCTGGGCCTTTCATTTTCACACAGCTCAACATGGACTGTGGATGATTTAGAGAAATGGATCTGAAGAAACCAGTCAAGGCAGGTATGGTTTGGCTTGTGCCACTTCCTGCCTCTGGACCTCAGTTTTCTAGTCTGTAAAGGATGCCACCTAAGTAGAAGAGTGGAGGGGGATGAGAAGAGACAGGCAGCGTGGTGGAGGGTGAAGGGTGCTGGAAAAACTCTGGGGTCACAATCCACGGCCACTTTGACAGCCTTGGCTTTGCAGACCTGCTTCACCCTTCCTGACCCTCCTCACTCTCCATCTGCTCCAGAGTCCAGGGAAAGACAAAGAACCTAGGTAGAATGCCTCCACCATATCCAGGGCAGGTCCCACACTTCCAAACACAGGGCTATGTCCACCTCTTCTCACTTAATATAGAAACTTCTTCAGCGAATTCCCCTAAGTTTTAGGTCTAAACTAAAATTAAACTACTTAGAAAGCAGTTTAAATATTAATTCAAAAACAAAACACCCCCTCCCATGTCGTGTTAGTTGCCCTGTGCCAACCAGCTTGTGTACATTACCTCAATTAATCACCACTGTAACCCCTTGAGTGAATGTCAACAATTTCAGCTCAATTTGTGGTTGAATGAGGTTAAGCAACTGGTGCAGGATCCCTCAGCCAGTAAGAAACGGCTCTTGGATGGTCCACTTGCCCAGCACATTTTCCTTTGGTTTTGCCCTCTGAGGGATTGGCAAACAGGTCTCCCATGACCTTCCGGGCCCTGAAGCACTCTTGGACCCAAACCCTTCGCGTTCCGAGCTCCTTTGTCCCTCTGACCCCCACTTAAGTCAGCAGGGTTTGCAGCGATGACTAGCGGCTCAGAGAACCTAACTGGATTCTGAGTGCTTGCACCCGACTCCCGGCATCACAGGTGCTCGGCGGGGTGAGATCTCGGCGGGGGTGGGTGGAGATTAGCGGAGGCGAGGCGTGGCCAATTCTGCCCGCCGCTGGCCTGAGGCGGAGCCACCGCTCGATTCCGAGTCCGGCCGAGTCAGGGGATTAGGGAGGGCGGATCTTGAGGCGGGGACGAGCCAGGGCTGGAGACTGGCCGGGCCTCAGTAGGGCGGGGTATGGGCGGGTCCCTGTTTGGGGCGGGGCTAGGGCTGGAGACTGGCGGGGCCGAAGCCTGGTCAAGCTGTGGGCGGGGCCGAGGCGTGGGCGGGGCCGAGGCTGGGGCGGGGCGGGAACGGTCTCCCAAGCTCCCTAGGGCGGGGGGGAAAGCGGTGGGAGGAGGGGGGGAGGGAGGGGACTTGGCGCCTCCTGCTCCGCTCGGCTCCGCGCACCCACGCCTCACTGCTCCGCTTCCTGCCCCCCACCTGGGCATGCGCCCCCTGTACCCCCAGCCCTCCAGAGCCCGCGCAGCCCCCCGGAGCCTCCTTAAAGCCGGCCGCGCAGGATGGGCGCCCCGGGTCCCAAGCCGACGCTGCTGCTACTGCTAATGCTGGGTAAGCTGGGTCCCCGCCCTATCCCGGGCACCGCAAGGCAGGTGCCGGCCACCCGGCGCCCATCCGGGCCCGCCTTCCCAGCATTTCGGAGCTCTTCGCAACCCCCCTTCTCCGTCAGGTGTGTCTCCAGTCTCCCCGGGCTTGGCGCCCAGCTTCCCTTTGCGGCAGCCCGCCGAACCAGTCACGCGGAAAAGGGGCTCCCCAGGGCTAGTTCCGTAGCCGGGGGCACAGTGAGGACCCACGGAGGTGCTGCCCGAGGCACCGCCAGGTCTTCAGAGGCAGGCCCTACTTCTCAGCCTGCAGACCCAGTTGCTGGGGTCGTTGTGTCCAAATGGTGCGACTCAGTTGTGTCTCACACTCAGCTCCAGGCCTGGCCTTGGGTGCCTGCCCTGTGTGGGCAGTGCCCGACGGTCTTCATAATTGCCCCAGAGTTGGCTGGAGGCCCAGAGGCTGGTTCTACCCACATCTTTGAAGTAAGTCTCCACTAATTGCTCCCCATACACTTCATCATTTGAGGATCCCTCCCTTGCCCCCATCTCCACCCTTGGTTGAGTTCCTAGGTGCCCTTCTTCCCCTCTGGCACACAGCACTTTGGCCTGTTGTGAGACCCCCCCCCCCCTAGTCCCAGTTTCCCTGCTTCAAGAGACACCAGGTTCAGAGAGACTGATCCTGAGATCTCCAAGTTCCCAGTGTCTCTGGGGTGGGTTCATGTGGAGTGTACTGGAACCAACCATGCATTGGGATAGTGACAATGGCCTGAACTGGAGGGTTCCCTGTAGGAGGTTGTCTTGGGAAGAGTGTGGCATGGAAATAGTTAAACTACCTGTACAGATTTTAAAAGGAGACTGAAGCCCTTGAAATAAGAGTGCTGCAAGGGAGGTGGGTAGGACTCCAGAGCTTCTGTAGTCCAGGCAGAGGCCTGTGGTGCCCTGAGCTGCACAGTGGTGCCAAGTGCAGTCTTCCCCTGTTGCAGGTCCTTCGGCCTCACATTCCGAGTGAGACCTCTCCTTGGGGCCCTGGGGGTGGGGGTGTGGAGAGGCAGTTCCATGTACAAAGAGGAAGGAGCTGTGGGGATTGGTTGCCTAGCGCGTGCTCCTTTTCCGTGGAGCAGGGAGGAGCCCAGGGATGGTGCAGAGAGACAGGAGTCTGTTGGGATCTGAGTGCCCACTGCATGTGACGCTGACATTCATCCACAAATGAGGAAAATGAAAATGAAGTAACCTGCTCTAGAGAGCATATCTAGTGAGTGTTGGGGCCAGGATTTGAACCCAGATCTGACTCCAAAGCAGGTCTCTGCTTTCTGGCTAGTGCTGGGGAGAGGACCTTGCTGGGAGAGGGAACTGAGCAGCAGCTGATTTCCTAAGGTTGTGGGGGTGACTTTCCCACGGGGATCTCCAAGCATCAGCAGCTGTGGAGCCAGGAAGGTGGGAGGGGGCCTCCTGAGCAATCTGCCCTAAGGCAACCTGGGAAGATATCTGCTGGACTACCTTGCCTTCACCCTGATTATGAAATGTGCCTGGAGCTGGGTCCTCCTGAGTCACACCCTCACTAGCTGCTAGCTGGCTGTCAGAGGTAGAAGCTCTCAGTTCTCTTTTAGTGCAGAAATTGAAGCCTGGAAGAGGAAGGGACTGGTTCCAGACCAAACCACTGGGGATGAGGATGGGCCCGAAAGCCACCTCCTGCTAGCTTGTGGCCTATCTAACTACTGACCATGTGTTCTCCCCGTGACTCAGCCTGAGGGAGAAGAAAGGGGCCTAGAGCTGGAGGGTGGAGCTGACCCCTGGGTATTTTTCTACAATCCCAGCAGAAAGGCTCTAGAATACCCCTGGGAAGCCTGGAAATGACTGTGGTTGGTAAGGTCCCTTTGGGAGCCTCCCCTTGGAGTCTCCTCATCTTTCTCCCTGGTTTTGTCCCTCTGCAGAGGACTTTCCGGGATAGTAGGATATTGATCAAAACACTGTATTTCTCCTGCCTTACTTTTCTCATCTGTAAGCTGGGAGCAAAGCAGCCTCCTTACATCCTGGGGTTCTGTGATCTTATCTGATAGGAGCTGTGGAAAGGTGAAGGGAGAGAAGGAAGCAGTTGAGTGATCCAAGGCTGTCTAAGTTATCTCCTGGGACAGGATGGAGTCTGGTGTAGAGGAGAAAAAATGGGCTGCTGGGGGCTTAGGGCCTTCCAAAAAAAGGAGCTATATGTAAATGATGCATATCATATGCAAATGAAGGCTTTGTTAGGGAGTTGGGGGGGGAGGTGCAGTGTACATCAGCTGGGCTAGCCAGAAGATTGGCAGGCACGGGGGGAGGGAATCTTCTGCCCCAGGCAGGGCAGAGCCTGGTTCTTGCAGCAAAAGCCCCAGCTGCCTTGGCAACTCTGTGGGGTAGGAGAAGCAGTGAGCTCATGGCACAGCTGGAGTGGGGAGGGCATTGTGTGATGAGAACTGACTGGGTCTGTGCCCTGTCCAGAGAGGGCCACTGGCTCCATTGTCTGGCCTAGGTGACATAGCTAATAAGCCAATAAGCCCTTGAGCAATATTTTTTGGATCCCCTCCAGCAAAGGAGGTCTTGGGATTCCTGAACCAGAAGGCTCCCCTGACCAAGTCCTAAAAAAGTAGAAGCAGACATGGAAGTGGGGAATGGGGTAGGAGAGGTAAGGTCTACATGGAAATGAAACAGGTAAAGTCAGGGAATCAGATGCTTATAGGTGCTCTGTTTCTGGCCAGCCAGAAATGGGATGTATTTGAGTTCTAAGGCAAACCTGGGCCTATGTCACTTTCTTGAGACCCAGCATCCCTTCCCTGTTCTTGATCAGAGGCTGGCCCTCTGTGTACCAACCTTCTCTGGGTTTCCCTTCCTTTCACAGTCAGGGTCAAGAATGGTGCTGGTGGTCTTGGACATGGAATGGGGACCTAGATACCTCCTACTCCTCTGCCTTTCCCTACAGGAGTCGTGTGTTGTGCCCGGGAGGTGCTGGTCCCCATGGGGCCCCTGTACCGAGTGGCTGGCACAGCTGTCTCCATCTCCTGCAATGTGAGTGGCTACGAGGGCCCTGCCCAGCAGGACTTTGAGTGGTTCCTGTACAGGCCTGAGGCCCCAGAGGCCGCACTGGGCATCATCAGCACGAGGGATACACGGTTCTCCTATGCTGTGTTTGGGCCCCGTGTGGCGGCTGGTGAAGTGCAGGTGCAGCGTCTACAGGGTGATGCCGTGGTACTCAAGATTGCCCGCCTGCAGGCCCAGGATGCTGGCATTTACGAGTGTTACACTCCCTCCACAGATGCCCAATACCTGGGCAGCTACAGTGGCAAAGTGGAACTGAGAGGTACTGGGCACTGGGATGGGATGGGCCATATCCACCCTCAGGTTTTGCATTTGAGGAACTTGAGGACCAAAGTATGACCTCAGAGTCACCCAATGAGTCATTGGCTGTTGTGGGACCAAACGTAGATCTCTTTTTTCGCAGTCCGTTGCTTTTCTTCTATCAGACTACTTTTTGGGAGAAGAGTAAGTGTCCTTCACTATCTAGTCCCACTCTTGGATTGGATGGGGAAGTGTGATGGATTGAATACTCTATTCCTAGAGAGTCCAGGACCCAGATGTGGGGAGGGAAAAGTATAGATGGGTAGGAATTATGCCATGGGATATTCTTACGCTCTTAAGTTTGTCCTCTGAGAAGGAAAACAGGGCTAGTTTTCCAAGTATTTCAAATAGGTGCCAGTCTTTAACACAACAGGGAGAGGCAATGGGCTGATTCTGGGAAATTCAACAAGTATTTATTGAGCGCCTTGGTGTGCCCAGCACTGTGTTTGGCACCACTGAGTTACAAAAGAAATAATATAACATGCAATCTTTGCCTTTTGGAGCTCAGGCAGTTCAGGGGATGGATTGTACACAGGAAATAGTAACAAGCCAGCTCCCAGCCTTCCCTCATGCCAGCTGTCCTCTCCAGTTCTTCCAGATATGCTGCAGGTGTCTGCTGCTCCCCCAGGGCCACGAGGCCGTCAAGCCCCGACCTCACCACCACGCCTGTCGGTGCACGAGGGGCAGGAGCTGGCCCTGGGCTGCCTGGCACGGACAAACACAGAGAAGCACACACACTTGGCTGTGTCCTTTGGACGAGCTGTACCTGAGGCTCCAGTGGGTCGAGCCACTCTGCAGGAAGTGGTGGGACTCCGGTCTAACTTGGCTGTGGAGGCTGGACCCCCCTATGCTGAGCGGCTAGCTGCAGGGGAATTGCGGCTTGGCAAGGAAGGGGCTGATCGGTACCGCATGGTGGTCGGGGGCGCCCAGGCCGGAGATGCAGGCACCTATCACTGTACTGCTGCTGAGTGGATTCAGGATCCTGATGGCAGTTGGGCACAGATTGCAGAGAAAAGGGCTGTCCTGGCCCATGTGGATGTGCAGACACTATGTGAGTACCACACGTCTTGCCACAGAAGGGGGTGTCTCAGTGGGGTCCCAGAGTTAGTAGATTATCATTGCCTGACTCCAGGGAACTCATCTTGCATAGATGAGTTCTTTGTCTTGCATAGGGTGAGCCCCACTGTTGGCACTGCTCTCCTCTCTACCCATGACAGATTTTCTTTACTTGGAAATTGGGCATGGAGATAGAAGGGCCATGGGTGAAAGGCAGGATTCAGGCCTCTGGGCAGGGGAGATGGTCACACCAAGTGAAGGGCGGACAGGAGGCCTGCAAATTGTTGCTATCCAGGAAGGAATTACAGGTGGGGAATCAGGTGCCTTTGGGTCCCCACCTCTGAGACGCCCTTCTTCCTCACATGTTTCAGCTAGCCAGTTGGCAGTGACAGTGGGGCCTGGTGAACGTCGGATTGGCCCAGGGGAACCTTTGGAACTGCTGTGCAATGTGTCAGGGGCACTGCCCCCACCAGGCCCTCATGCTGCATACTCTGTGGGCTGGGAGATGGCCCCTGCAGGGGCACCTGGGCCTGGCCGCCTGGTAGCCCAGCTGGACACAGAAGGCGTGGGCAGCTTGGGCCCTGGCTATGAGGGCCGGCACATTGCCATGGAGAAGGTGGCATCTAGAACCTACCGTCTACGGCTAGAGGCTGCCAGGCCTGGGGATGCGGGTACCTATCGCTGTCTTGCCAAAGCCTACGTTCGAGGGTCTGGGACGCGGCTTCGAGAAGCAGCCAGTGCCCGCTCCCGGCCTCTTCCTGTGCATGTACGGGAGGAAGGTGAGATGGGGTTGTGTTCTCAGCAGGGTTTGGGGCTTCTAGGACCCTTTCCTTCTATTTCTGTGCCCCTATCCCAGTTCATTAGCTGTTGCCGTTCTTCAGTCTCACTCTTCCATCAGGATTGTGGGAATAACCTGAGTTTTCTGGATACTTGCTTCAACACTAACCCTGACACCATAAATCCTGACTCTTCGCTCTCTGATCCCATGTCCTTCATTTTGCAGGAGTGGCACTGGAGGCTGTGGCATGGCTAGCAGGGGGCACGGTGTACCGTGGGGAGACTGCATCCCTGTTGTGCAACATCTCTGTGCGTGGCGGCCCCCCAGGGCTGCGGCTGGCTGCCAGCTGGTGGGTGGAGCGACTAGAGGAGGGGGAGCTGAGCTCTGGCCCCGCCCAGCTGGTAGGCGGTGTGGACCAGGATGGTGTGGCAGAGCTGGGGGTCCGGCCAGGTGGAGGCCCTGTCAGCGTGGAGCTGGTGGGTCCCCGAAGCCATCGACTGAGACTGCACAGCTTGGGGCCTGAGGACGAAGGTGTGTACCACTGCGCCCCCAGCGCCTGGGTGCAGCATGCTGACTACAGCTGGTACCAGGCAGGCAGTGCCCGCTCGGGGCCCGTCACAGTCTACCCCTACATGCATGGTGAGTGACTCCCCTCCCTCCACCTGCCATACCTCTGCTTCCTCCCAGCCCTTGTCCTGTTCTTCCCTTTCCATCTTCCCAACCTCCTGCTGCTATCACTTCGCATGACGAGCCCCTGTGTGCCCATCTGTGCCATGGCAGAGGGCAGGCAGGGAGCAGGGAGGGCTCTCTGTGCAGGTAGGGGGTGAGTTCAGAGAACCCGAAGGCGAGAGTGTGACGGAGGGTGGGGAACGATGGCACTCCCCCTGAACACAGCCATCCTCTCTCACCCAGCTCTGGACACCCTATTTGTGCCCCTTTTGGTGGGTACAGGAGTGGCCCTAGTCACTGGCGCCACCATTCTTGCCACCATCACCTGCTGCTTCATGAAGAGGCTCCGAAAACGGTGATTCCTTGCTCCACAGGTGAGGGGAAGAAACCTTAGCCCTGTCTTCTTTAGGCTTCCCCAAACTGATGAGTGGCTTCCTCCTGGGCCCCACCTGGAGGAGGAGCAACCAGCATGGTTCTGTAGGATCCTGTTAGTGGGGCGAGGGCCGAGAGGGAGCTGCACTTAGGGCTTGTCCTCAGTCCACGCTGCATTCTCTCTCCAGTTCTTGCAGGTGTCAACTGTCTTCCAGCCAGCTCCAAGTCCTCCTCTGGTTGCCCGGATACCCTTTCCCTCTGGCCACCCTTCCTTTAATTTATTTGACCTACCCCCATGCAAAGTGGGAGACATGGCCCCATGCCCCACACTTTCCTGCCCCGGCTCCTCCCTCTGGCCTCTGTTCTTGGTCTTATAAAAAGGCTATTCCATGTCCTTGAACTAGTTTTTCTAAAATGTGAATAAATTTGTTTTATAAAATCCAGGCCTAGCTGTGTCTTCTCCTGCCACGAAGCTGTAAAAGGCTGGGGTATGCAGTAGGGAGGTTGTTGGGGGCTGATAACCTGGACAAACCACGCCTCTCTTCCCACCATAAACACCATCTGGCCTCCATGGGCCTTGTCACCCACCCCAGGAGGAGACACCTGGGTCCCATCTGCTGCCTGAATTGTCAGTGCTGAACCAACTCCTAAGGGGGCTCCTGTTTGGGGAGGGGACCCTTCTCCCACATTATGGGCAGGGACTTCCAGGTGCAGCGCCTTTCTGAGCTCCCCTAACTTGGCCACAGCCCTCTGCCTGTCTTCATTTTCCTAGTCGAGCTAGTTTCAAACTTGTCTCCTCCCTCTAAGCCCTGGGGCCTCAGTCTTTTTCCTCCTGACCTTAATTATGCTTTCTGACACAGCAGAATAGGCTTCCTAGAACAGGGACAACAGCATTCAGGGGAGGGCCTCCATTGACTTTGTCCACCAAGCTGCTACCCCTACATACCCCACCCTGCTGGCTTCCCCACCCTGCCTACTTTCACCCTTTGCCTAAGGATCCTCTGATCTTAAACTTCTGGCCTGTTCTGCCCCTATAGAGGCATCCAGTCTACCTCTTTTAATTTAATTATTTAACATTTATTGAGCATAGCTGGTTTGCTAAGTGTCGTTTTTCACAGATGAGGAAACTGAGGCCCAGAGAAGTGATGAAACTTGATGAGCATCACTTCTCTGGGATGTGAACAAGTCATAGAGCGAGTCAGTGACGGTGTCAGCACTAAAACCCAGGTCTCCTGACTCTTTGCACTGTACAGTGGTATCCTGAGTGGTGACAGTGGTGAGGACAGGTGTGGCCACAACTTTTCCAGGGGAAGGAGGGATCTGTTTTAGCCTCAGTTTCTCTTTCTGTTCAATTACAGTGGTTTCAGTGCTGTGTGTGTGTGTGTGTGTGGACCAAGAAGACCCCCACTATAGACTTCACCTGTTCCACTGAATTAAACCCAGATTGCTCCCCATCCCCTACCCCAATATCTATTCTTGGGAGAATAGCTGTCATCAGCATTATAGGACCTTGTCTTTGACTGAGGGTGACCCAGGTGGCCCCATGCCTAGACTGAAGGGAAGGGATGAGGCTTAGGTCTTCCTTCTTGCCTCTGGAAGGTGCAGTGCCACTAGGATCCTGGCTTCCCAGCCTGGAATGAGCAGACTAGGGTGCCTGCCTTCCCCCAAGGGGCTGTGACTTGTTATTCAGAGACGTGAGTGGGGCGCAGTCAGGGTGGGAGATGAAGGTCCTGGTAGGTCCCTTCAGGGCGCGCTCGCCTGGGCCATACTTTTCTCCAGGAAGCCAACCTCAGGTTCTCTCAACCAACCTTCTGCCTTTTTTCAACTTTTCATTGCTCTCCCCTTGCCATCCTGGGATGACTGGGGTGAGACTGTGCATCTCCAGGGATTCCTGTTCCGGGGGGGGGGGGGGGGGGGGGCCTGACGGCAGGCAGTCAACACACCCAGATGTTTGGACTCTCATTTCCTCCCATGTTCACTTCTGCCTTTTCAATTCTACAGGGGATTTGGTCCTTTGCCTTTGAAGCCCTTTCTGCTTCAGTTCCCCATTACCTCTTTAGGAGTCTCCAAAAGGCCTTCCTTCCAACTACTTTGTCCTATGTGTCTTGCCCAGTTGTCTTACCAAACACCACCTCAGTTTGTCATTGACCAGTTCCCACTGAATCCCTAGTCCCAAAATTAAACTCGTTAGCCTGGGCTTGGGTCTCTTTTCCCACACACAAAACTCTACCTCTCACATTTCTCGGCTCCCCCAGGAGTCTCAGTTTCTTTTCAGCTACTCCCCAGGTTATGTGACCCCTTAAAGTGTGGTTCCCAGTCCAGCAGCGTCAGCATGACTCGGAAACTTGTTAGACATGCACATTTTTGGTTTCCACCCCAGACCTATTGAGTCAGAAATCTGGGAGTGGGGCCCATCACTGTGCGTTTTAACAAGCCCGCCAGGTGATTCTAATGCCCAGAAAAGTTGTACAACTTTGGCCTTTCATCATTCTCTCTGCCTGACTCAATTCCTACTATCTGATCACCAAATGCCGCCCACTCCCTGCTCCAAGAGACAGCATAGGTTCTCAGTGCCAGCGGTACCTCGTTCAGTTGCCATAGTTGTATGTGTGCTCGTTCCATGTGTCCTGTGTTCTGGCAACAGGAATGAGATCTTTGAAGGTCTACCACACCTAGCACTCAATCAGTGATTTGGACAATCTGCCTAACTCTGCCTCAAGGACAAACTCTGCTTCCCCAAGAACCACCATCTCTCTCCAGGACAGCACTTTCTAGATCTCTCCCCTGGCCCTTTGCTTCTGAATCTCTCCCATCCTATCTCTGCAGTAGTACCCGCAAAATCTTATCTCTTGTCAGAAAATAGCCATCCCTGGATCCCCCCTCCCAGGACCTGCTCCAGAGCCCCAGCCCCAGCATCTGTCCTCACTGCCTGTTGCCCTACACCTGAGTACCAAGGCCACTGAGACTTGCTGAGCTCTCACAGCAAGTTACCTCCTCCTGAGTCTGTCCAGCGGGAGGGTGGAGCTGGGGGGTGGTCCCCATCTGTGCCTACACCTGTCTGGCTTTCTCTCCTCTGGTTCGGCTTGGGCTACTCTATTCATTTGAGATAGGTGTGTCACACACAGAGAGGATGCCGAGGAGGTGAGTGGGGACTGCATTCCATCTCACACTGTTCCTCAAGCCAAGCATCCTGGTTTGGGGCTGCATGTGTCTGGAGGAAAAAGATGCCTTTTTAGAATTTGCACAAAGGTGTGCTATGGTAGCTACAGCCCTGAGTGCACCAGCTGTCCAGATAAATGGTACCAACTGATTGGTCCATTTACCTATCCATCAGTTGCCTTTTTGTCACCATCTTCCCATCTAACCCCCATAATACCATCCTTCTGCCCATCTATCCACCCATGAACAGATGGCGAAAGTCAAACACAGAGAGATGGTGTGTTTGCCCATCCCCATCTTCCATTCTCCTCAAATCAGGGAACTTCCCTTCCCTTGTATTCTGGACTCAAGGTTCTCAAGGAACCTCTCTAACTTTAGCACCTTCTCTGGGACCTCACCTGGCTCCTCTTCCACCTCCAGCATCCAGCTCCTCTTCCACCTCCAACATCCAGCTCCCCATGTACCTGTGTCTAGCCCCTGGTCTGCTACAGGGGTTTGGAGGAAACTGGTCACACCTTGGACTCACTCTCTGGGGGTGGAAGGCAGCCATTCTGTTCCTTGTCAGCCTCAGCTTCCCCACCTGCCCCTTCCGCTGCCCCCTCCTCCTCCACCTTCTCATCCAGCCGACTGGGGATAGACCAGTAGAGATGGGCGTCAAGGCGGGCTGCAGCCTCTGCCAGCTCCCGGGCACTGCATGAGGGCGTGGGCACTTCAAAAGTCTGGTGGAAGCTGGCATAGTCCACCTCGTAGAAGCCATCCTCCAGGGTCAGCACTGATGTGAAGCGGTGGCCCCATAACACCTCATCCACCAGGTAGGAGCTCCGAGCTTGGCATGTCATTCCTGGGGAAAAGGAGCATAGGTCAGGGGATCCCAGCCCCAGGCTTCTCTCTCCTGTCTCTACCCCACAGTCCCATTCCTAGCACCCTCCCTGCCATCTCTCCCCCAGGCCCCCACCTCACTTTGGTCTAGCCTATTTTCTTCCCCGTTCCAATTCCTGTTCTTGTCTACCCACATTTCATTTCCTGCTCATGCTTCCCCCTCCTTAGCCTTGAAACTCATCTTAAGGATTGTCTATTCCAATTTCCCACTCCGCATTGGGTTCTCAACAATGGGCATCTACTTGATTACCTCCCAGGATCGATGGCCTACCGTCTCAGAAGAAGCCCATTTCTTTGTGTGATTGCTCTAATACTTGGGTTGTTTTTCTTTAAACTAAAATCTTTCTCCTGGGATTTCTACCCCTTGGTCTCATTCTCTTCCTATTTGACACCCCTTTGAGTATATAAAAACAGGATTCAGGTTCCCTTTTGTTTTCTTCCAACTAAGTATCCCAAACCTGACCTGTTGGCGAAAAATTTTACTTTCTTGATTGCAAACCAGTAAGGCCAAAGAGGACTCTTGAAGTGTCCCTTTGAGTGCGATAAATTCTCCAGTTGTGGCCTGAATCATGCATAAAAGAAGGCTCACTATCTCTTGCTTCTGGCCAGGATGCTGCAGCTAATAGGGCCTGTGATTACATTACATAAATGCTTCTGGAAGCTGCATCACATTGCTACATAAGCCTGTGGCCAACTAAAACCCCCACTTCTTTTTTTTTTTTTTTTCACCAGAGCTCCATGCTGTGCTTACATAAGTGATTTTTTTTTAAAGCCTAAATGTAGAATTTTATATTTATTCCTTTAAAATGTCATCTTGTTGGGTTTTGGCTCATTATTCTTGTTTTTCAAAAGCACTTTAAATCCTAAAATATTACCATCCTTCCCAGCTTTATTGCTCTAGAAAAATCAGACAAGCTCCCATCCCTATCATCTCTACCTCACCCTCCCCAATTCTCCCTGTTGGGCTATTGCACGCCCAGGGCCAGTCAGTCTCCTACACCAGGGTCTCTCCCCAATTCATCTCCAAACAAGGGGGAAACAGAAAGTGACTATTATTAACTAACCAGAGACTGGTTCTAACGTTGAAAGTCTGGCCCTGAGACATCTTGGGGGAAGGCTAGAATAGGAAGAATCCCTTTGGGGAGGAGAAAAGGCACAAGAGTCACTGCAGAAATGGGGGCTGATAGGAAGAAAGGCAGGGGCTGAGGTTCAAAGGGAAAAGAGAGCAGAACAGGAGGTTCCCAGGGTCCTTCCTGAGATACTGGCTAAAAAGGAGTGACAGCTGGAGAGGTAAAGGAGGGGGAATAGGGTGAGTGGGGAAGGGAGAGAGCTGAGTGAGCCCAGTCTGAGTGAAGGTGGAATGAGAACATTGAGAGGGGAGTTAGTAAGGGTGGGATGGGGCTGAAGCCTCCTCTCAGTTTGAAGGGGCCAAGGAAGGGGTCTGAAAGCACCAGCTTGTCATAAGATGATAGCAGGGAGCTACAGCCCTGGCCCTAGTAGCAGGAGCTGCAGCGCCCCCTAGGGCCTTTATTCCTCACCTGTATTTTCCTTATTCTCATCCAACTTCTAGATCTCAAGTCCTAAGGAAATGTACTGCTCCTATATTATTTTATTCGTACCTGCTCCCAAACACTTCACTGTGTAGGCCCAAGCTGAAGATATTGACATCACATGTGAGTCTCCAGTTCCTTCTGGGAAGGGGCCAGAATCAGTACCATAATCTATTTCCTTGTCAGTAGAAGTTGAGGGTCTTGGTGAATTGATGGGATACCAAGACAGAAGTGAAACTAGGTATCAGCCTCTCCTTAAGGTCCTCTTCCAGGAATAACTCAGGCCAGGGAAAACCTTCACCATCCCATTCCAGGAGCCCAGACCTCTTGGCAACAAGAAAAATTTTGAACCTAAACTTTCATTCCAACTAGGGATCACTAAGCACTGAAGCTAGATCTCATATGTCCAATCCAGGCACAGCTACTTATTGGCTTATGACGGTGGAATGCGTACTTAAACTCTTTTTGGGGCTATCTCATCTCTGAAAAATGAACACAATAAGTTACCTTCAGAGGGTTCTTGCTATAATTAAATGAACTGAAAGGTATAAAGGGCTTTGAAGACTGGGGGTGTCCCTTGGTGCTAGAGTGCTTGCCTGGCATGAGTGAGGCCCTGGGTTCTCTCCCCAGTGCCACACACACACACACACACACACACACACAAAGGTGTGTGTGTGTGTGTGGGGGGAATGGTGCATCACACAGAGCAAGTATTACCAGTGTTATGGATTATTATTACTCTTCTTACTTCATGTGACACATTGCTCCAGTAGGGGTCCCCCGGCCCTCCCTCTTTTCATACTTCTAGCTTCCACCTCGGTGCCAGGCTGCACTATCTAACCTCGATATCTGACCTCACCATCTTTTGGTCCATCCTTCTGCAACTTCCCAGGCCCTCCCTTTCGCGACCTCCCTCCCCTCCTGGAGCTCGCCCGCACCCGTTGCTTCCACCATGCCCTCTAGGATGACCACGATCTCGAAGTCGTCTCTCTCCATAGCACGTCGCGACGCCTCCCAGAAGGGGCTGGCAGCATCGATCTCATGGCTGATGACAAGAGGGGAGACCAGGAAGAGGCGATCGTCACCGGTATCGAAGCCCACGCTGAGATCGGTCTGGTGCAGCGGGATGAACTCGCCTTCGAGCGTCTGGCGCGAGCGGATGAGCTTGGCGCGGATGGACGCCTCCACAATGTGCGAGGAGCGCAGGTCGCCCACGCGGAACATGAGGCAGAGGCGCCCGTCGCGCAGTGACACCACCGCGTGAGAGGAGAAGACGAGCGTGGCGGCGCGCTTGTTGGGCTGTGAGATCTTGACGAACATGCAGCCCACCATGAAGGCGTTCACCATGGAGCCGAGGATGGCCTGCAGCAGCAGCAGCACGATGCCCTCGGGGCACTGGTCGGTGATGACGCGGTGCCCGTAGCCGATGGTGGTCTCGGTCTCAATGGAGAAGAGGAAGGCGGCCACAAAACCATTGAGGTTGTTGACGCACGGCGTCCACGCCGTGTCCTCCAGGTGCTCCAGGTCCCCGCGTCCGTAGGCGATCAGCCACCAGATGGCGCCGAAGAACAGCCAGGTGAGCGCGTAGGCGAGCACGAAGAAGAGGAGGCTGAGGCGCCACTGCAGGTCCACGAGCGTGGTGAACAGGTCGGTCAGGTAGCGGTACGTCTCGCGGACGTTGCCCTGCTGGACGTTGCACCGGCCGTCCTTCTCCACGTAGCGCTGGCGGCCGCGACGCCGCGGTGGCTCCTCCGGCCCCGGTGAGAAGGCCGCATTTTCTTGTGCCATGACAGCGCTGGGCGACAGGCGACCGGCGACAGGCTGCGGGCGTCGTCCTCAGTGCAGGCACAGAGCGAGCCTGGAGACCGCCGGGGGCCCCTCGGTGGCGTCGGGGGTCCTGGAGGGGCTTAATAAAAGTTTACCGAGTTAATGGACTTTCCCGGGATGGGGGAAACTCGAGATGTCCCGGCCAGCACCGAGTGGAGTAGCCCTGAGGGACTCCCTTTGTGTTTCTTTGCCTCAGTTTTCCTATCAGTACAAGGGGAATAATGCACATAACGCTATCTGCCCCTAAGCTCAAAAAGTTGTGTTGATTAAATGGTAAATGCACATGAACTGGATATAGTTCATAGTAATGCAAGTTCAACGATTATTTTTCAGGAAAAGGAGGTACTCCAGGACCTAAACCTTGGGTCAACACCTCTAGCTGGAGTGTTTAGCACCTCACAGGAAAGTCCCCAGACAAACACTCAGGCCATGAGGGAATTTCTGAAATCATTAGACGTGGGCTCCTAGGGGGCAGGCAGTTGATTGGCCTCTCTTCTTGATCTAAGGACTTCTGCCGCCCTTCCCCTGGCTTGGTCAGTGTAACCACCCACTGAATTCTCTACGGTTCAACCTGAAGGCTCTTTTGAAGTTCAACGCAAGATGGATGCACAAAAAGCCTTTCCCATTCTTCCCTCCCTGGACCTCACTCTATCCACTCCTCCCTATATTTTTTTTTTCCCCACAACAGACTTACCAAGGAGAAAGAAATGTAAGCTGTAGCAAGCAAGGATTGAATATTTTCACAGTAGGACATTCCCATTGGAAATGCCCCTGGAGGCCTAACTATGATCATTGCTGCTCTAGTGTCATGCCATTTTCCCTGGGTGCTCTCCCCTTGGAGACAGCCTGAAAGTAGAGGATGAAACCCACTGAGCTCATCCAGAGTTATGCCCTTGACACACTATTCCTCATGAGAGATGAAATCAGACCAAGTGAAGCACTGAGCACCTCATCTATTTCTCTGCCTGCTCTAGTTCTTTTCTCACAGCCTCCTACTTCCCATTCACTATCCTAAGCCAACCCCACTCCCACCTGCCATATGCCCCAAAGCCTACATTCCAAGCGAAGCCCACCTGATTTTGCTTCAAATTCTTCCTCTGAGGAGCTCTCTGAGCTGCAGTCTGCCCTGAGAGACAGAGGTCTGAAGTCCTTTCTTAGTCACCCAGGGACTCCTAAGCAGTATGAACCACAAAAGGAAAAGTCTAGAATAAGGAGTTAGGAACAGTCAACCTTCCCTCCTCTTTCCTGGGAACTGTCCTCTACTCCCAATTCCTGGGCTGGCTGTGGGGGAGGGAAGCAGGAGTGTGGCAAAAAAGATCACAGATGGCCTGGATGTTTGACCAGTTCCTGGGGAGAAACTGGCTGGACATATAACTGCAAATCCAACACCCCGGATTTTAAACTCTGGAGCCAAGTGCTTTGCACCCAGACCTTTGGAGAGAGTATGTATGTGTTGGGGTAGAGGACAGAAGGAGAAATGAAAAAGAGATGACTTGGAACTTAGAGGCACTCCTACATTTATTTTCCATGGAGTCATGGGACAACTAACTCCATGGAGGATCCGGGGGCACCTTGGCAATAGCAGATTAGGAACTTTCCCCCTCCCCCAACAACAGGCTTCTTCTCCCTTCCCTGTAGCTCAGGATGTCCTAGAAGTGATCTGGCTCTGAGACCCCAGGTCATGCAGTAAAGTAGCCAGGTAGGATGCATCCTAGCTTTAACCCAAAGTGGCTTCCAGACATTCTCTCAGGGTTTGGGTAATCTGACCTCCATCTCTATGTCCAGGCTTGAGCAAGGGACCCCAATGTCTGATGACCCCCAGAACTCTCTTGCTCTCCATTGTCCTAGGGATATAGTGCACCTTCTTTTGAATGTGTCCCATGTCCCGTTTTCCTGAGTGAGGAGGGGCTGTATTTCTGTCATGGGGAAGGAAAGGTGTGTAATTGTTGCCTCTGTCTCAAGATCAAGGACTTGACTTTTGCATCTTCCCTCCAATAATTCTAGTTCCTCCAAATCTACTCCTACTTCCTGGGCATGCTATGACCCCTTTCTAGAATATCCCAGCACCACATTTTCCTGGACTCTTTTTCCTTCCCCTCCAGGGTGCTGGGCAGCAAGGGGACTCATTTTTTGGAAGGAGATCTGGTAAAATCTCCCTCAGAAACCAGTTCCTCCCAAACCCCCACTTGCCTTGCATACAGGGGCCCAAACCCCAAGTCCCCCACAACTCAACTCACAGCTCGTGGAGAAGAGAGTAGCCAGCAGCAGAGACCCTGGGGGGGTGCCGTCCATGCCCCTGACACCGCCCCCACCCCGATGGGCCCCCTTGGAGAATGGGAGCCGCAGACACTGCTGTTTCTCCTAAAGGTAGCGGCAGCTCCGACTAGGACTTGCTATCTGTGTCATCCTCACTTCCCAGGCTCCCCTGCTCCTTTCTCGTTTCCATGGCAACCAGTCTGGCGACAGCTCCAGAGCATCCCCCTCCTTCCCCCGGTCTTGGGTACCACTAGGGGCTGATCTACGCGCCACAGCTATTTTTAGTCAAAGTCCCTCCTCCTGGACAACTCAGAGCTTGCCTCCTCACCCCCTCAAAGGAGAGAGACAGAGAGAGAGAGAGAAGAAAAGAAAAACAAATGCTTGCATGCTGGTCTTTTCCTAGTGAGTTCCTTACTCTGGGAAACTGTGGGCTTTGAGGTATTTGGGAATAAAATGTTTGGTTTCCTGGAATTTCAAAGGGCCATCTGGGAGCTCACCACTGCCAACAGGGTCCTCTGTTTGCAGGTACTGCTTTGGGGTCAGGCCACCATCACAGCCTCTATTTTTGGAGAGGCCTCTGATCCAGAAAGAGGCTGCTACAGGGAAAAGATATCCACTGGAGGCAGGGAAGGGAGGCAGGGTCAGGATTCTAATCCTTGTCACTGATTTGTGATGTGACCCATAGGAGTCTCTTTACTTCTCTGAGACACAGTCGTTTTATCTATCCCAGAATATGTGCATGCACAAACAGCCTCTTTCTACCTACTTCACACAGTGTGCAGGTCAAGTCAGGCAATATAAATAGAAGGGCTTTGAAATATATTTTGTTAATATCAAAAAGTTGAGAAACAACCCAGATATACAACAGAGAGAAAAGTTTAGGTTAGTATTAGTGATAACTATTTATCCTTCAGCTTTTAAAATTTTTTTTCTTTTTCTTTTTTTGGTGGTACTGGGGATCAAACCCAGGGGCACTCAACTACTGAGCTACATTCCCAGCCCTCTTTAGTTTATTTTGAGACAGGGTCTCATGAAGTTGCTGAAGCTGGACTCGAACTTTTGATACTCCTGCCTCAGCCTCCCAAATAGCTGGGATTATAGGTGTGCAACATCATATCTTGCTAAGACATTTTGTGTGTGTGTGTGTGTGTGTGTGTGTGTGTGTGTGTGTGTGTTGAGAATCAAACTGAGGGCCTCTTACATGCTAGGCAAACATTTTACCACTGAGCTATACCCGTAGACTAAGATTTTATTTCTTTAGGGCAGTTTTAGGTTCACAGCAAAAGTCAAGAGAAAGGTACAGAGATTTCCCATGTGTCCTCTGCCCCTGCACTGCATAACCTCCCCCATTTTCAACACCTCCTGCAAGAGTGGTACTTCAGTTACAATTGATGAATCTACATTGACACAACATAATCACCCAAAGTCCATAGGTGATTTACATGATGATTTACCCTTGGTGTTGTACATTCTGTGGCTTTCGATAAATATTTAATGACATGTATTCACCATTACAGTATCATGCCAAGTAGTTTCACTGCCCTAAAAATCCTCTGTGCTTTGCCTAGTCATCCCTTCCTCCTACTAATCACTAGCAATCTCTGATTTCTTTTACTGTCTCCATAGTTCTGTCTTTTCCAGAATGTCATATAGTTGGATTTCATATAATATGTAGCTTCCCAGATTGGTTTCTTTCACTTATACATTTTTTTGATGGGAGGGGTGGTGTTGGGAATTGAACCCAGGGCCTTACACATGCTAGGCAAGTGCTCCACCACTGAGCTATCCCCCCCAGCCCTAACTTGTGCATTTAAGGTTGCTCCATGTCTTTCTTTTTTAAAGTATATTAATTTTGCTGTTTTGTTTGTTTATTTTTATGTGGTGCTGAGGATCGAACCCAATGCCTCACATGTGCAAGGCAAGTGCTCTACCGCTAAGCCATAACCCCAGCCCCTGCTCCATGTCTTTTTATGGCCTGATAGCTCATTTATTTTTGGTGCTGAATAATAATATTCCCTTGTCTGGATGTGCCACAGTTTATTTATTTATTCACCTCCTGAAGGACATCCTGCTTGCTTCTGAGTTTTGGAAATTACGAATAAAGCTGCTATAAACATCTGCGTGCAGGGTTTTGTGTAGAAACAAGTTTCCAACTCCTTTGAGTAAATAATCAAGGAGCACGAATGCTGGATCCTGTGGTGAGAATATGTGTAATTTTGTAAGAAACCACCACATTGTCTTCCAAAGTGGCTCTGCCATTTCGCATGCCCACCAGCATTGAATTCCTGTTCCTGTGGCTCCACATCCTTGCCAGCATTTGATATTGTCAACTCCATGCTTTTTCTGCAGTAATGTAATAACCGTGGCATATAATATAATAGGTTAGTATGTTGGAAATCAAAGTAACAGTCATGTTTATGTATGTGAATGTGTGTATAGATAGAATGTTATGTAAAAAAGCACATCACTAAATGTTCTTATAAGTTGATTGTGTTTATATGGGAATAGCTGAAGGGAGCACTGAAAAAAATCAGGAAAAAAAATCTTGGGGAAAATGGAATACTTCAAGGTCCATTTTCCCTCAGAAAAGTTAAAAAAAAAATTTTTTTTTTCAGTTTAGGGATTGAACCAGGGTCTTGTACCTGATAGGCAAGTGCCCTACCACTGAGCTACAACCCCAGCCCCAGTTCCAGGGAAATAATTAA